GGCATGAGCACCCCAAGCACCTACCACCTGCTGCTGCCAGCAGCAGGGGCTGTGTGCCATGGAGGGTAAGAGGGAATGTATAGGGGGTCCCCACACCCTCCCAACCTCCCTGACACCCCACAAATGCTACACACCCACACCACCCTGCACAACCCCCTCACATATACACCCCTCCAACATATCCTATTGTCCCCCCACACAGCCACACCCCCTCACAAACCTCCCACACACCCGACCATACACACACACACACTTACCCCAAACCACACCCCTCACACAATATACAAGAATAAGATTTTATTTTTGAGTTATGCAATCACTTCTACATGCAGTACGCAAACACAATTCACGACAAAAATACTTTTGGTAATAAAATTAAAATACATTATAGTAGGTGTTTGATTTTTAGTAGGGCTGTGCAAAACAGCACTGTTTTGTTTTGACTTCCGTTTCGCCATTTCGAAGGGACAGTGTTTCATTTTGACGTTTTGTTTCGAAGCACTATTCCGTTAGGTCTTGTTAAAACTATTTTGATGTTTCAACACGTTTTGCCCATAGGCTATAATGGGGAATCATGAAACTGCCTATAACTGTGTCATTTCTTGCCTGATTCGAATGAAAACAGCAGGGATGGTAACTTCTCTGCCTCCCCCTCCCCCCACACCAAGCTTGTCCCTCACCTTCTGATGCCTCCATTTCCATTTTCACTGACTGGCTTTCTTGCCTGCATTGAATGCCAGCTCCTGGCTTTTTTACTATTCCTTCCATCCAGGAACAGCACACACACCAATTGCAGGTGCTTCCTCAGCCTGACGAAGGGTCTTTCAACCCAAAAGCTGGCATCCCAGGCAGCTAAGCTGAGCTCACCTGGAGCTTCACAACTCCACTGCATCCAGCAAGCCTCAGGCCAGGACTGTGTGCGTGTGTGTAGTGGCAGGAGGTTATGGCGCCTCCTACCTGCCTTTCACCAGGGGGATCCTCAGTCCTGGCATTTCCTGGGGCTGCCATGCCACCAGCAGTCCCACCAGGCCTCCTGACCCTGGCAGAGTACAGTTTTAGTGGTCACGTCCAGGACCTGGGGCCTCCTCCTTTCCCATAGCCCCAGTCCATACCTCCAAGTTTGTCCTGGTATGGGAGCTCAGCAGACACGTTCTTCCCCTGCTGGCTGGTGATGCAGTGAGTGCCCCCTCCAGCTCTGAGAGCAGGGCATTAACTGGTTTTAAAAAATAAAATGGAAATAGGTGCAGACAGAGTGAGGAGGGTGGCATTCACTCCATCTGCACCTGGAGCTTAGGGAACCCCAGCAGTGGGAGATTCACCTTGAGGAACACCAGCTGCTCCACCAAACCAGGATCCAAGGAGGTATGGTGGGG